GGTATTCCTTTCTTCAGAGGTGATGCAACAGATTTATACATGGCCTTAAAGGAATAGAGGTATGGGATCAGACTCATGTTAGTGTTCCATTAGTGTTGCTATAGGCCAGTATGCTCTGCATACCTTTTCTGGGTCATCTTAGTAGGAATCCATGGGTTTAAAGGCAAAACACTTTACTCTTCATCAGCAAGTAACAGGACTTTTTGTCCAGGCAGCAGCTGTTTGTGAACTTACCATTCAGAGAGTAAGTACAGCAAAATTAATTCTCATTCAAAGTATAAATTATTAGTATCCTTTATAAGGCCAGGTAAAATATTTTAATAGACATGCTTTCCAGAGCACATCTGCATAAATTCAATATGCATTTTTATATTTTATCTTGGGGATAACTTTGTATATGCAAATGTTTTCATAAGCCAGTAAATTTTCTCTTTGTTTCCTTTTTCACATCTTTGTTTACTTTTTTTACTTCCTAAGTGTTAGAAGCATTGATAGTTTCTTTGTACAGTTTTCTACAGCTGCAATTTGTCTGTTCTGAAATATATTTTAATTTGAAAAAAGAAACCCACCAGCGTAGCCATGTTGTTCTGTTGCTTACAAAGGCACTTTGCTAGAAGAAGGTGCTCTGATTAAGGTTATTTCAAATTTTTGTTAGCAATCATTTTTTCTTTAAAAGAAAGTTTTTAACTTTTGCCTTAATGTAAAGGCAAGACATCAGGAAATCCATTTCCAGTTCAGAACACTGATGTTAGTACCACCTCTGTTCTTCAGTACTGGAAATGCATTAATATACCTTGCTCTAGCAGTTATACCCCTTCTGATTTCTGAGCCCTTATCATTCACGCTGCAATCCTGATGGCTACAAACCCACTTTCATACTTACAAAGTTGACATTCCAGTTTTATCAGCCACTTAATTCCAAGAGTGTTAGTGGATGAAGTAAATAACACAAGACACTATAGGAATGCTGAAGAGAATTTGAAAACTTGGTACCTCTTCATTTGAAAGCCTTCAGTCTCATCTACCTGGAAGGTGTCTGAGTATTTTAATCAGTCTGAAATCAGACAACAGTCAGTGCTACCCCTTGTTTTCCCTCTCTTTTCAGGTGCCTTGCTCTCTGGTTCAGGTGTCTATTCTTTTCAAAGAGGAAACTGCTCTACCTTATAAAGCAGCTGGGCCAAGTGTTTTATATCTATTGTGCTGTCTACTTGTTAAACTTTTCTTTGTAGAAGAGGTCCTTGTCCAAATCCCTGCAATCTAAATGACCTCTCACTGTACAGCTGTTTCTCATTTGTTCCCAGTGGGAGTTCTGGGCATTGCATCAGTACCAGGAGAAGAAGATTAATCCAAGTTTAAGGATCAACTGATGTTTATAAAGTGCTAAAAAGAAGCTGACTCTGACGTTTTCTTTGGAAGATTCACAGTCTGCACCCTTAATAGGTCATCTTCCCGTAGGACACTGAGACCCAGCTCCAGGCTCCCTTTGACAGTGGTCTGGGTTTCAGCCTGAGGAGCTGGCTCCTGGCCCCTCAGACAGTGCCTGCATAGCCTCTGCAGAACCATTGTGCTTCTCCTTTCCTGCAAAGTTTCCAACAAATGGGTTGGGAAAAGGGGACACCATGCCTGTGGTTGGAATGAGGAAATAAATCAAGCAGAGACAGTGTGTGTAGAAGATATGTAGGAATACTCCCTTCTGCCAGCCTTTTGGCTTTCAGATGGGATTAGTGCAGTGCATGGCAGTGGGGCGCACAGAGCATGGAGCCCCAGGAGAAGGCATTTACTTTCACAGCTTGGCAAGTCCAGCAGGGCAACGCACTGCGACCATTACAGTACATTACTTGCTCAGTCCCGGATCTGTTACGGACCTCAACTCTGCTAAGCAGGCACTTTTGGCGCATGCAATTGATGAGCTGGTTTTGCTCTAGCTTTTTAATGGACAGCTGAAAAGGGTCTTGTCAACAGTGCTCTGAGCATGCCAAAGAAAAAATGCTAGTTTACGAAGCATTTTCATTTTTCAGAGAAACTGAAATTAATGAAATAAGAATTAATGGCTAGGAGTTGAAGCCAGTCAAATGCAAGACAGAAGTTAGGAGAAAATTGAGTGAGAGCTAGTTACGCCCAGCAGTATCAGGGAAAGTGGTCTCTTATCCTTAAAGAATAGAAGGTATGCTTCAGGTAGAACTAGCGATTAGATGATTATAACCTCAGTCTCTCTATGCAGTCTCTCTGGTCTCAACTCTGTGAATCTACATTTTTGCACATACGTGTAAACAGTCTGCTATGTGGTCTTACTTGTGTGACTGGGTTTTTGCAGAAGGTAGTTAACATTTGGATGTTACCAAGTCATATTGCCCTACATCAATGGGCATACAGGGTCCACTTTCAGTTACAGCCTGTAACAAGAACTTTTACCCTTCAGTCTTCCTCTTGGAAAATGCCTGCCTGGCTCCACAGATCTACAAAGGGAAATGTCCAAGAGACTTACAGTTTCCAGGAATGTAATAGTTTTCAAACTGGACTTGAATAAATCAATAAAAGGGCTTTTTTTTTTTGTCTTGATAAACAGCTGGATATCCTTGATCAAGATAACTGTGGCAGTATCTGCATACTCTTTATTAATGTGTACATTTTTACAGGTAAAGCAGCATAAAACCAATGTAACCAAAAGTTTGTATCGCATAGCGGGGTGGACTAGCTTTCATCACAGCTTATCAACTAAAAATACTCCTGGCAATGAAAAACCTAATTGATTTGAAATTGTACAAAAAGCTATCCAGTATTTAGTTTATTAAGCTCAAAATTGTGGTGGGATTTGAAGCATTTGGACAATCTAATCTACAAAATGATTGTATAACCTGCGTTCCTGTCCAGTATTGAAATTCTTGGCCTTGACAATAAAAAATATCCTTTTTCTGAGAGGTCTCATTTCTCTCTTCTTCTATTAAAATTGTTTTATAATGTTTTATAAATTGGACTTTTTCCTTCTTAAGAAAGGATGGCATGTGATCTAATGGAGGTGATCAAACTACAACTTTATTTTGGTTCCTAGAAGCAAAACTTGACTTCTTAAACTAAAGAATTCCCCTTTTTCCATCTTCAGTAGTTTTCATTGCTTTCCTTCAAAACATCTTGGATTTTTCCCAGGTATGGTTTAACTGAAAGCTAATTAATTTCTCCTCTGTTTCCCCTATATTTATAAATTGCTCTTGGTAAATGCAACAGGCTGAAGGATACAGAAGCAATGAGCTTTCCCCTGCTCCTATTTAAGGAAATGTTACTACTATTTAAATGTTTTCTTCCTCATTTATTGTCTTACTTGGATGCAGAGTGACACCCCTTAGAAACGGATGCTCGGCAACTTTCCTGTAATTCAAGGGGTCAAACCCAGCCTTGGCACACTTCCACTATGTCCAGTAAAGTTACGGTATGATTGCTGTGCAGAGAAATTGGCTACAACTATTGCTAGCTTTATTGAGCTAATCCTCACTGTGATGCTTAGGAAATAGAAACTTTGGTGACATGAGATGGATCAGTGCTGCTTGGAATTATTTTAGGCAGAACGTAATCACATAACATCAAAGTACCTGAAACTAATCTGTTACCTCTTTTTGTATTTTGATGTTAATCTGAAAAGATCTCAAACGCTTTCTGCGCATGAGAGAGTACGCTTCTGCGTAACTGCATTTTCTTCTTGCTTGTGTTGTGGGAAAGCAAACATTTGCAAGCTTTTAAAACACCATGTAGTTTTCACTCTAACAAAATAAGTAATTTGATACATTCTTACAGTTCTAGAATCTGCACTGTAATTCTGTTTAAATATAGCTAAAGCCCTTGTGGAATTACCAGAACATGTAAAACAGCTATGATGTATTCTTTCATCCTGAAAGACTGCTTATTCCCTACTGTTCCTAAAATATGTGCACTCTGTAGATGTCATTGGGTTTATTCCTGTCTACCTATAATTGAGCAGTTACAGTAATTTTCCTTTTCTACACTGTGTGTAGTAGTCTGTTCTGGAGATGCATAAAAATTATATATAGGCTTGTGTAAATGATATGTAAATCATCTTTTTCTTTTTCACAGCAGATTTCAGATCTTGGTAGTTTTGAATGTTTCACAGTTCTGATCCTGTTTTTCTATCAGTGAGTTTGTTCCGCTAACAAATCTGTCCCTCTGTTCCCTTGTACTCTTGTCTTTTTTCCCTACTGCCTCATTCTGACAAAGGCCAATCCATCCTATGGCAACATTTTGTCACCATGTCTCCTTGTCAAGTACCCTAACATTAATTCGTACAACTGAAGATGCTTTTCTTCTGTTTAAACAAATCATTCTCTAGGTTTAACAATGTGAGCTAGCTGCT